CAAAAGGTGTGTTGAATTGACACAGCAGCCCAGCATTTTAACACCGTGGCTGTGTTAGAGTCAAATAAAATCTTTATGGGAAGAAGACTTTTTGGGAAATGCCCTGCTTTGCTTTCCTGTCATTAGATGTGAAGATTGATAAGGTTGTCTGCAATGAGAAGCTGCTGCCAGAAGTCAAATTCAGGGAAACTGTTATGCTCATTTCCACAGTTTCTGATTCTTGGATTCTACTACAGTAGCTTTGCATAATTTATATTTTAAATAATGCTTTTTTTCTTATACTTAAGTGCAGCCCCGCTGTTCATCCTGTGACAAAAACAACCCATTTTTAGTGCCTCTCTCTTTAAGGCAACTTTCTTGTAATTGGTTGTTTGTAATACACAGAAGGTTTGAACAGCATCTGCTGTAGATAGTTTTTTTTAGACCTGCTGCTTCTTCTTTTGCCCAGTTTCCTCAGATTTTTTGAGGACACACTGCACACCATGCTGAAATATGCAAAGCTTTGGGCTGATAGGTCTTTGAGACTCACTCACAAAAACACGCCATTTTATGTTTTATTAAGTTTTCTGTTATGTGTAGACACAAAAACCGTTCATCCCTCGAGTTAGATACGTTTTAGACTTGAGTGGTTCACAGGTGAGTGTTAAGAGGTTAATACAAAACCACTCCTCTGGAAATGGTCAGGTATAAGGACTGGACTGAACATGACCTTTGGAAATTGTGGAGAAATACTGCTCAAGTCAACTTTAAAAATTACAAGAACTCTGGCTCCTTGGTATCAAAATGTAAAGCAATCATGGCACAGTCAAGACTTTCCCACGGCACTGTATATACCATAAAAACGATACAAGGAAATACACAATACTTTACGTTAAGGCGTAAAACCTTTTGGTCAGACACACTGACAGTCTGTAACATTTGTTGATGTCATTTGATCTGTGATTTATGAAAGGAATCAGTAGAATTGTGTAGCTTTACTGGCGCTTTGCTTTTCTATATTTGTGTCTCGCACGGGACAATGACGAGGTAAGCCACACACACTCAGTGGGGGACTGTTGCTTAGCACACCGGGTCCCCTTTGAATCGGTCCATGGCAACCTGAAAGCCTTTCTTCAATAAGTCATCAGCACATTCATGCAATGAGAACAGAAAGTCGACTTTTAGAGCCAAACTAAGCATTTTAGTGAATGAAAGCGACCTGTGGAAGACAGCTATGCATACTTAAGTGAACTCTTTTCTAGGCGAGCGGGCCTGCTGGGACTGTACACAGAGTAACACACAGCGCTCCATCATCACAAACGTAAAAGAGATCAGAGAGTCACTTACCCACTGCGCTCCGCTTCCCACTCATCCAAGGAACCTTTGTTTCCCACCTACAACACCGGCGCCTTCTTCTTCACAGGCACACGCAGTTTCTCTCATGTCGGTACAGATCTGTTCTCGTTACGGTGCACATTAATCAGGCGAGTTTATAATGTCTGAGCTCAGCTGACTGGCAACCTTTTGTTTTCGCTCAGTCTCACCTGATTTTATCCGTCTGGTCCCCAGTGAGGCACCTGTGTGGCTCGCTGAGCAGTAATTAAACCCTCAGTGATGTAAAGGTAACCAGGACACAAAAGACAGAAAATGACAGATTGGTGTCTCTCGATCGTGACTTGCACTACTCCGCTTGCGTATCATGTTATTATGCTTCCACACAGTCAGCATGTTGGGATTTTAAAATAGAAAGTAGGGCTTAGGCTGAAATTATTAAACATCCTTGCAGTTTATACATAGCATACATGCTCAGATTCCTTGATTCATTCAGTGGCCACCTCTCATGCTCTTCAAATGGAGAAACTGATCATCATAGAGGTTTCCTCACATACAGAGAAACTTTGGTATCGGTTTGGAAGGTGTATAGTTTTTACACCTTTGTAATTAATACAGCGATATAAACACGTGAGATGCAGGCTCCATGCAAAGACCATCACTGGTTTTTAATTGACGGCTGGTTCCTTTCTCTTTAGCATTACTGAGATCCTGCTGACCAGCTCAGAAACCTGAAACAGCTCAGGTGGAGAATTTTCACAGTAGACAGTTTAACTTGTGACTTAAGATTTTTCGATATGATTTTCCTAAACTGTTGATCTTAAAGTGTTTTTTCACTCATTTTACACACCCATGTTGATCTAAGTGATCTGACCTACTATTTAGTTTATTGTTATATTACTTGGAAGGTACCTGTTCACTTAGCTTTGCTTACCGGGAATAAAGTGTGTGCTGCTGTTTCCTGCATATGACAAATAAAACTGTAAACTTGTACTGAAGCGTAAACAGCAAGTGAAACCGACATGTAACCCACCTGAGGTCTGTCCCTTGTGTTCGTTGGCGTTGGCGTAGTTTGTTTGTATCACACATGCTGTGTTTAAAGGTTGGTTGTGCAAGATTCAGAAAGCCCTTAAAATTATAGACACACGCCCTACTTCTCAAGTAGGCATGAGCAAACCAGTTAGAGCCCATTTTGCCTTTATATCTGTCTGGTTGTAGATCAGGAGGTAGACCAGGCCTACTATTCAGAAGGCAGGTGGTTCGATCCCTGGCAGCTCCAGTTTACATGGCAGGCGTATGCCTAAATATATCGAGTTGCTGCGATGTGACTGACTAATTGGATATTTGCATCAGTGAGCATCACTCCTGGTTAGGTCTGTTGACTTGAAACATTAGTCGTAACATTTCAGTATAAGTTCTGTGTGTCTGTAGTTAAACAGGTGAAAAGTGGTTCATGTATATACCCATTACAAAAAACCCAAACACCCCTTTTCTAAAAAAAACAAAAACGAAATACTTCACAGGATATGATCCCATTTTCCTTTGAGTATTAAGAAAGAGACCTGGTGCTTTACATAATTATACCCTGTACAGTAAGATCAATGCAGGGGGGGAAAGTGGGAAGGCGTAAAAAGAACAGAGAGAACAAAAGACTCTACAACTCACACAGGAAACACACAAACGGAGAGAACAGGAGAGGTTCTGGCTTTGTGATTTTTGGCCGAGACTGTGGCACAGCGGAAATCACCATGAAAGGAGTTAGGGCTGGATTATCTGATAGGAGGAGTTTTATTTGGGGGATTACTGTGGAGAGGGAAGAGCCGACGTCACCCACGCATATACACACATACACAACTAGATAAGAAGGAAAAGCCTAGTCTGATATGTGAAAGACATTTCTCTGATCTCTGAAGATAACTTCCTGGGACTATTAGAAATGTCTACACAGCTTGACTTGTTGTATCTTGCCCTCCTGCCTGTCATGTACTGCACAGTGATAGAGGAGTGTGTGAGAGACAAGGAGGAATGAAAACAAACTCTGTATGTTTAATGTGGATATTCTGTGTAGATACACACTTGTTACTGTGTTACTGTAGCTGGGTGTGCGTGTCTGTGTGTTTTGGAACCACTTCTCATGGCGTCATTGTCAGCAGTATCGTTACATCACGTGGGGCTTGTGACTCATCGGCCGTGTTTAGTTGGGTCTGAAAGGTTAGGTTTCCGACAGGACGTCCACGCCCCGCCTCTCTCGGTGCAGTTTGAATAAAGCTGAGAGCGACTCGCCTTCTGGTTCATTCAAACTTTAAGGACGAAACGCCAGCATCAGAAAACGACATGTGCGCAGAGGAACTCGAGTGCGGGGTTTGTTACCAGACCTACAACGCGGGTCGGCGGTGTCCCCGGGAGCTCCAGTGCAAGCACAGCTTCTGCGAGAGCTGCCTCTTGGCCCTGTCCAGGCCCCTGGGACCCGGAGATGCGCATCTGGGGGCTGGCAGGTTGATCGTATGCCCGCTGTGCCGACACATCACATCCATCTCCGATCATGGGAAGATCCGAGCCGAGCTGAGGGTGGACGAGAGCGCACTGGAGCGGCTGACGGCTGCGGGACTCCTCAACGAGCCCGACGTGGACGATCAGGTTCAAGGGGACGAGGAGGAAGCGACAGCTCCCGAGACTCCAGCCGAGGAGAGCGAGTCTTCCGCGGGCACAGGAGGCGGGAGACTCCGGCGGTCTTTGAAGAAAGTTTGGCAGGCGATAAACGGCAAGGGCCAGCAGAGAAGAGAAGGTAAGAGAGACCCTGATTGTGGTTTATGATACTTTCACTGGCAGATTTATCCTCGATTAAGTATCAGCGAAACCAGACTGTCAAAATATCATCTAAAAATCTCAAGTTTGTGTCCATTTAGTGATTTTATTCTGAAATCTTAAGGAAAAAAACTTCACATGAATAATCCAACTGCTATAGGAACTAAAAGGAAAATAATAGCCAACTTTTTATTTTAAGTAAATGATTAGTGCTGTAAAGAGATGCAAACTTAGTCACACTATAGTTTGGTTTGATCACACTTTCTTCGGTACCTTTTGTAAGAACTGGCATGTGTATCCATTCAATAACAACATTCTTTAACTTTAGGGAGGTTTCCATTGAATTAAGTTGTTCATTGTTTTCTAATGTGCTCTCTCTTTCTTTCAGAAGACTGTATGACCAGTGAAGACCTGAGGGCCCTCGCCATGATGTCCTGCCACATGTTTTGAGCAGCCCATATGGCCCCAGAGTAATGCAGTATGAGTGACGAATCATCTTAAAATGGACTTGATGGCGATGATGATAAAGCCATGTGGACACTGTGAATGTTTTGATTCCTTGTTTGGCCGCTGTGTAGCCAAATGTGATGCCAAAGCAGCCTTTTCAGCCCCACTTATGTACAGATGCAACTGTTTTGATATTTATTGTTTTTTTTTTTTATTTGTTTATATGAAAGTATTTAATATTTAAAAAAATAAACACATTTTTTTAAAAACACAGTCTGAAGCTTTCTGTGGATTTTTAGTGATTTGCCTTTTGATAAAAAACAACAAAGTTTGAATTTATTATTGTCATAATTAAAAGCTGATAAGTAAATTGAAGGGGAAATGTACGGCCTTTCAAAGGAAAGAGGAGTGTAGACAAAAAAGGAAAGTTAATGTTTTACATAAAATTCACTGAAGTCAGAAAAACAACAAATAGCCCTTTGCTCATAGCTCCAGGAAGTTGGTCACCTGAGGCCAGGTGAACTGTATTGCCTCCAATCAGACTGACAAGCACCAGCAGAGCTGCAAGATCCCCTACATGGTTCAAGTAAAAGATACCGACTAACGGCGCTGCTGCAGCTTTTACTAGTCGTATAAACCTGGAAAAAAGTTGCTGATCATGTTCAGCAACTTTGCTCCTCACCTGAGGTAAACGGTACACAGTATTTTGTGGGGGTTTTTTGCACATGCAGATAAAACATCTGAAAAGCACTAGCAATTATTTGTGACGACAGTTCAGTTCTATCTATCTACATTTGGGTGTCATTTTTATCTCTCCAGAGTCCTTGTGTTTGTGCCGATCTGTGCAGCCATCGTGCTGTTTATTGTGTGCCCAGATTCTGCGAGAGGTGAGCCCAAGCATGCTCATCCTAATGGCTGTTGTGGGGTTTTGCTGTGCATGTGTTAGCTGGAGAGTTATAGTATTTATTTCAACAAAGCTGATGGTGTTAATGATGGCAGAACGCACTTTTATCAGGGATGTCACAAACAGTTTCCAGGTCATTTAGATAAGGATCTTATTTTAATAAGATCAATTTGATTCCATTTTTTAAATTTATAAAGTATCAACAACAACTGTCCCCTCAAGTCACTTTAAATTGCAAAAGTAAAAATCCTGCAATAGTAGAGAGAAGATTGTTGGGGTTTTCAGACAGGGGTGGGGGGGCAGCCATCTGGCGTGAGGGAAGAAAATAAACATTTCATCTTCAGTAACAGTAATCTTACATCATATAAGGGAAGATTATGAAATACAAGTGTTACAGTCAGGAATCAGTTTTTAATCTAAGATGCCAGAGAATTTTGCATGACTCACAAGTCACAGGACCATGGTGCAGACTGCCAAGTTCATCCACTTTCTGAAGCTGAGCGCCCTCTAAAGACTAACTTTCTTCTGACTTGATTCCTCTTGCAAACAGAAGGGTTGAATAGCAGATGATAGCATAGCAGCAGATGATCTCACCGGCACAAACTCTATAAACGCCAAACAATTTAATTTGAATCGGTGGATTTAGCTAATGTTTATTTATTAAATATAGTGGCGCAAACATGATTCATTTAATAATTATGAAAAAACATTTGCAGTAACAAGACTGCTTAGCTTCCCATCTTTAATTCTGCGGTGTTGTGTTCAGTGTTTCAGTTCTGTTGTGTTTAGATTGTTCTTCCTGTGGATGTTTGACTGTTTCCAGAGCAAAGATTTTAACAGGTCACCGTGACTTAGACTCCTCTAGAAAATAATAACTTGCTGTAAGTGTCGTAGTTAAGATGTCAGTTAAATCAAATTGGTTCTATATAAAACTAAGGTTATATAAAATGTATTCAGTTTAATATCCTGTGAAGCTCTCATTTTTGTGGGGTGAAAAGTTTGCATAACACTGTTCTTTTTATTACATTTTTAAATATAAGTAAACAAACGAAAGCAAAAAAAGAAACTATGTCAAAGAGATGAGATGCTGCTTTTCCAGATTCACAACCTCTGAGATTTCCACATAGAAATGTAGTGATGATCCTTGCCAATCCACTTCACCATGGCTTTCCTTGCTAGCATTAAAAGAGAGGGTAGGATATCATCAGCATACAATAAAACTTTGTTGTTTCGTACCAGTTGTAATTCCTTGAATATCTGGGTGTTTGCCTGAAATTTTAACAGTGTAATGAGGGGGGAAAGCTTGAAACTGAGAATCGACAGCAGCCTGAAACCAGAGCTTCCAAAGGGATTACTTGTAGATACAATGTCGTCATTATGTGAAACTTTGGCAATCATGTAGGTCATCAGACCTCTTTCAAGAAGACATAACACGGGCTTTAAACCTGCTAGAGTTGTCAGTCATCCAATTGCCAGGCTATATGATATGTAAAATATTTTAGTTTATAATTTTCTATCTGTTTTCACTTTCAGCCAGTTACACAGCAACTCAGAAGCACAATGGAGCGACGTACAACGCCTGGAGACAACTTTACACTCCGTATAGGCAACATCGTCCCGCCTCTACTGGTCTGCTGTCAACAGAAACTGGACTTCACACTGGAACTGATGACGAAACTAAGACGCGTGGAAATTATAGAGGGACTCCGTCAATCATTGATCAGCAATCAAAACCTTTACAGGTTACACAAGGTATTTACAGTGACGGTCAAAACAGCCCAGCAAGCAGGCAGTCTCGAGTGAGAATAATAAAAGTGCAGAGAGGCCATAGAACAGATGGAGCGAGGCCGGCAAGCAGCTTTTTAACTAGCAGATCCTCTCCCCAGCACGGAGGGCAAAGCGCAGAGAGATGGAGGTCCAAAGGGAATGACCCCACGCTCACTCAGAAAGAAGCCCTAATTGGAAATTTTCATGATTCCCAGTCAATGATTATTAGAAAACCACCTACAGAAAAAGCTGGCAGTCACCAAAGCTTGAGTTTTTCAAAAATTTGGGACCTGAAATATATTCCAAAACCTTACAGCAGAGGACAAGTTGCAAAGACTGATTCTTCAAGGACGGATGAAGATAAATCTCCTGGAAACCCATTTTCTTTTTCTCTTTCTTCATCCCAGACGAGTGGTTATTGGGAAACACCAAGGGGGCGTTACAGTGAATATAAAGAGACAAATGAATCTCCAGCAGTTGGGGCACAGAGTACATGGAGAGGGAGTCAATCAAGCAATTTTCTCAGCTCTACAAGTCATCTGGCTCCTCACGCAACATCAATCAGCAATGGCGCAAACACCCCCATTATTAACACAAACCCAAGCGCAGAAAAACTGACATCATCCATCACAGATTCCCCCCATGGGCGAGACTCAATGAGCAACGGTCAGACACAAAGACACAAAAAGATGCAAGCGTATCTTTTCAAGGGCCCTGAGACCTCAGTTAATAGAGTTGTGGGAGATGGACGAGAGGCTTTAAGTGGACAAAGCAATGCTTTCATTACGTCAGATAATCAAAGGCCCTCTGATGTACCTGCTGCCAGCAGATTTGGATCCAGGTATTATAACACAAAAGATACAACCAAGCAAATTACTTCCAATCTGCCATATCATCATACTAGTGCAGCTCAGAATGATGAACAGATGCACAAAGATTTAAAAAGACCCATCTCCAGCTTAGTTCTTCCTCCTCACATCACAGAACAATCTTCCGATCTCCATCTTGCTCCAGTAAAAACGAAGAATATGGCAAGTTTTTCCCCTTCACCTCACATTTATTCCACACACGGGTATGCCACCAGAAGTGAGGAACCTCTTTCAGTCAGCAAAGTCAATGCAACTACAAGAGATTTGGTGCCAATCCAAAAACCAGGAGGGGGCACACAAAGTATCTTTGGCTTCAAAGAGTTTAAAAATCCTGTGTGGCAAGCTGTAAAGAAGCCACGCGCTCTCACCTTTAAAGAACAGCCAAACTCCAAACAGCACAGCTTTGAGAACATGAAACATTATAAGTTTAAAATGTCAAATTTTTACCCTGCTCTGCTCCAAAGGTACAGTTTTGGCCAAAGAGGAGGATCTGCTATTACTACAACACCACCGGTAATGTTGGAGAAAAACCCTGTAGTTTATTCTTCACCTTCACCCAGCACCTTAATCCCAGTCACAGCACCCACGCTGTTTGTATCAGGGTTTATGCAAGTAATGACACCTAAAAGTGACCCTGGTGTGGACAGAAACCTCAACTACAGACAATTCAGAACCTACAAAATAACAAAAGCTCCAAAAAGATCCGACTCTCGACCACTCGAGGGAGCCAAACCTTCAGTTCAAGGACCGGACAAATCTGCCAGACTCCAGCAGGATCTTGATGGTATTAAAGTCGGACGTCGACAGACCTCAGAACCGAGAAGCTTCAAAATTTCCAATCAAACTGAGCCAGGCAGCAGCAATACATCAACATGGACTCCAAAGGAGTTGAGCAGTGTTGACCTTAAACCATATTTAAAGACAGCAGAGGATTCTGTATTAGTCTTACCTGGTAAAAACAGCAGCAGACCCTACACTTTCCGGAGATTCAAGTCCTTAAAAAACACGACAGCACAGGCTCGCAACAAAATATGGTGGCAACACCCGATGCAAGATCCAGCATCAGCATCTTACATAGTCTCCTCCGCTCATTTGAGGTCAGCGGGGCGCCTCACTTTTGCATCAAAGCAAAAATCAGAGCTAAGGACACCCAACCAAAGCAAACCTGCTGAGATGAAGGCAACCCTGCTCCACACCTCCACCAGCCGCTCCGTGAGAGCCAAACACGCGAAGGCAAGACACAGAAACAGCAAAAAGCTCGGCGATTCTACATTCACCAATCACACTGTGGCCATAGTCAGGCTGCCCAAGCGCCCCGCCGAAGTTAAAGCCGTCACTTACACCGATGTTCTTGGAAGTGCTTCGTTCAGTGGTGTCATGGAAACAACAGAATCTCCTGACAGGCCAACTGATATGGATCATTTTCCAAACGTGACAGCTACGACCGAGCAAAAGAAAGCGATGAACCGTTCGAATTTAAACTCTGATGATGATGATGAGTACAGTGGAAAAACATGACCAAGAACTCTGAGGAAAATACTGATAATGAGATGGGAGATTTCAGCGGCACAGAGAAAAACAAGGCGGATAAAAGCGAAAAAGCCAATTATGAATGGAAAAAAACAGATTTTTTTTCCAGATAATGAGGAAAGCGGTGGCTCTGAAGTTTTATCAAGTGTAGTAGGAAGTCAGGCATTTACAAAAGATTTGCTAGAGATGGAGTACCTACGAACTTCTACTGAAAATGTTTCCTTTAAGTCAGTGAACCTGCCTCACCCAGATAAAAAAACAATAAAAATGCTGGAACAGTTCCAATAAAAGCTGGAAAAGTACACATGACAGTGTTTTTGTGCCAACAAACATTTCTAAACAACATGACTGAGCTGATGGATATACTATTACAAGGGCTGAGCTATAAATGGCTGATTAAACCGTGTTTACATTCAAGGGTACTTTTGTTAGTGAAGTTTATAGCTCCTGATACCAGCTTTAAACAGTGACAGTCTGTTTCCTTTTGTTTACATTCTTCGCGCCTGCTGAAGATTTAAACTGGATTTATGCGTGCAACGGGCTGATCGGTCTTCTCACCTTGGAAATGGAGCATAAAGAGCCAATTGACTAAAATGTGCAGATGTTTAAATGCTAGATTTGTGATGAGCAGCTGTGCAAATCTTTGTCTGCTGGCAGAAAGAGCATCGTTGAGATGAGCAGTTCTGTTTCTTGTCTGTATATCTGCTGTGATGCTCCTCTGTATGTGCTGCACCATACAAATTAAAAGGCTCATAATTTACTTTTGTTGTTTGTTTTGTTATAATTTATTGTTTTAGGTTATAAGTACCCAGCAACAAAGAGGACTGGACAGTGATCTGCAGAGTTTTAAGGATAAACACTATAAAGACCCTTAATAGTAATGTAACTGTAATAGTAGATGTAATATTAGGACGATAACAGAAAATACCCTTAATTTAGCTTCAAAAATGTGAAATATGCACCGTCATTGCAACCAGAAACTGTCTTCCCTCTGAAAACACCTCAGTGTCTAATTACATAAAAGGTCTCTGTAGTTTGGTGAAATTATGAGATCTCATGAGAATATTTCAAACATCTGTCCTCACCTTTTCATGTAGTGAGGAGGTGGTATTGAGCATCCTGGTAATTTTTATAATTAGGCTAGCATTTCCAATACTTTAAAAGCCTGGGACTTTACTAAAGTTGCAAAAAGCAAGGCCTAGGAAACGTGAAAGATTAAGTAGCCTTCATAGTTGAAGCTAACAAAGTATTCTTTGTTTCTAAATATAACCAATTAGCTTTTCTTCCTAGGCTAAGTAAGCCCAGTGCCAGCTAACAAAGTAGGTTTTGTGGCTAAACCTGACTTGTAGGCTCAAAGACTAATGTGTAAGATGTTCCCATACACACCCACTTTGTTAGCTTTAGGAACAAGAACCGCTTAGCCAAAGAACAAAAGCTAATGGGTCAGGTTTAGCTAACAAAAGCACAATTTGACCAATTAGTCTTAAACCTAAAACCAGTTAGCTTTGATACTTAATGCTAACAAAGCAGGTTTAAGTATAAAGCTAGAAATACCTTTTGGCTTAAAATGTTCTAAATAGTATTTTAGCTCCTCCAGCAAAGGATGGATGAGCTGCAAATAATGATCACGTAATGTATCAAGCTCACATTTGTCTTTTACAAGAACTTTTGTTTTTTCCACTGCATAACCTCCATGCACACTACTTACAACTTCACCATAGTTCTTGCTCCTGATGTACTGAAAAACATTCAGTTCAAACCATTCAGCAAAGTCTAACAAAAGACTCTTCATGATGATACATTTTACACAAAATGATGAAGAAATACCAAATGATGAGGTAGTTTGAAATATTGCATTGCTATCCATGTTACCACTTGGATCCTGCAGTGGTTGGCACAATTTTCCCAAGGGGGCCACATGGGGGACTGTTGTGGATGACCCAACCAATAAGCTAAACTTCTGCTCAATATGAATTTAATCTCTGTATTATAAACAGTTACTGATCATAGTAATTGCTACAATCAGGCCCTAATGGTGGCTCTTTGGGAAAATGTTTTGCCCACCCCTGTTAAATGTTCATGATCATAGATGGAGTGATCCTATTGGTTGACCCCCACATCAGGAAGCTGTGGTTTTGGCCTTCCTATTACTGTTATGCTAACATCAGTAACATGATCAGTGAAATTACATATTTTCATGCTTTTTATGGCCATGATTACCACTGACCATGCACTCATAATCCTCCGGAACTCAAACACATTCATTTAGACTTGAATGAGATTCATTTGTCCTGAATATGAATGTTCGTGAACCTCCCTGACTTCTCAGTGGATTGCAATTTTCACTAGCTTGTCCAATACAGTCAGCCAAGAAAAGACAAGAAAACTAATCACTTTCTTTGTGCACTTCACACATTACCAATAACCTGTGAATTGTGACGGCATGTGACCCATTACATTTCTCCCTGGTTACTAAAGCTAATAAAGCCATCTTTGTGCCTACAGTTAAACTGATAGGTGTAGTGCATGAGGTGCAGGAGTTTAGCACTCACCCAGATCCCACTGGATTGCAGTATGCTGATGTTGCAATATTTATTATCCACATTATGAATGATGCCAAAAGCATGTTGCTCTAGTTTAAATAATAAAGAAAAAAATAGTCTGTTCAGAAAAGCTCTGTAGTCTGTTCCTGGTATTACTGATGTATAATTTCCTGTCTAGATATTTAAATGAACTGAATGGCTTTAACATATTTTCCTAATGCTGCATCAGCTCTCCTGCGTTTCTGTTCTTTGTTTCAGTATTGTTTAAACCAGTAATTTGTGATGACTAGCAGAGTGCTTTACTGGAATTCTGGATGATGTGGAAAACTCAGCGTGCTGGGAATGTATGATAACGCAGCCTTTTCACTGAATTACTCCAGCTCTGACCGAGAAGACGTGAAATGTGGCTTTTTGAGCGTTGGTTTTGAGTCGTTTGGCAAATGATTTGCGTTCTATAATGTCAAATAGAAAGAGGGAAAACAGAGCAAGGTCATTGTTGAGGCTTTTTATAAATGGATTGTATTCCTTGTGTCCTCATTTCCATGCAGGCAGTGGCTGTTCAGCGTGCTGACACAGATTTTCCATCTCCTGTTTTTGAGCTTACATTCACGCTTTCAGCATGCCGGTCTCTGAGATGGAAAACTTGATCCTCCTTTGCCCAAGTGGGGCTTCTTTGAACTCCATCAACCGATCTCATAAGTTTACACAGAGTAATTCATTAAAACGCTCCATTATTTACCCTATTTGTCTCGAATTAAACCGTAAAGGGAATGCAGATGTAGTACACATTTAGTTAGTTTCAATCACAAGGATGTAGTCATCACTCTGTTGCTACTCTTCTGTGTCTTGTCAGTTTTAGCTGAATTTACGGATAGCACACATTGAGTGACCTGATCTGGTTTTGCAGCAAGAGCACAGATGTTCCACTAGATGGCGTGGCTCATCCACTGTATTATCTAATGTGATAAAGTCAAGAGGCTTTGCACTTCTCATCCTGGGGGTCTGCTGTTGGCCCACTACATGACTTTTAAGTAAAATGAATTCACAAAGATCAATTTTCTATCATCATTGCAACAGATAGTAATCATTTTAAATCCATTCCTTTCCTTTATCGATCAGACAATCAAGCGTTCAGTTTTCGGGGATGCTGTGCCGACACTAAACCCAGATCACAGCTCCTCACAAGTCCATTCACACCTGACCCTTCACCTTCTCTCAGTACTCCACTTAAATTCCAGTTCTACACTTGTCCTCCATCTACACCCTGGAAGAGGCCCCAAAGCCATGAGAAAGTGGGAGGGTTTTTTTTTATTTGGAGGGGACCTGCCAGTCAAAGTTAAACACATTGTATATTGGATTAACACCCCCCTCCAACTCTCTACCAATACCCGTGGAAAGTGGGACTGTCCACTTTCCCATAGAGCTGAGAGGTATTAAGGTGATATGATGTTTGATGTTATGAGGTTTCCATGTGCTGGCATGTAAAGGCGTGGGCCTGCCGGCTCCTTCAAAGTCACCCTCTTTCTGTGCTGCCTTTTGTGTTAGCTGAGTGTTGTGTGTCGAGTTCACACAATTCCAAGTTTCTATGCTCGCCTAAAATATTCTCTATCAGTGTGTGTGTGTGTGTGTGTGTGTGTGTGTGTGTGTGGTGTTTTCTTGCAAAGGCTGGCCCTCCCTCCCACTTCTACTGTGAGGGGAATTCTGTACCATGTGTCTGTGGTTTTCAGGGAGCTTTCAAAGAAAATAAAGCACTGAGGCCTCGCAGCCCCTCCTTACTTCCCTCCTCCTTTCTTCTTCTTCCCCTCGTTTCCCCTCACTCACTCCCTCCATGTGGCACTTATTGTTTTTTACAGTTTCCACCTCCCCATTTTTAGTCCAGCCAGCCAGCTCCTGAGTGACAGAGCTAATTTCATACGCATCCTATAACCCAGACAAATCCATAATCACAGCAAACAGTCTCTCACGAGTCGGCTGAGAGGGAGAGTGAGAGCTGGGTGGTGTCGGGAGTAGGAAGGGGAGGGAGGGAAAGACAGAGAAAGGCTTTTTGTTTGGCTATGTACACTATGTGAAAGAGGGGGCGGTGAGGAAAAGGAACTGGAAATACATTAGAAAATGGTTGCGTCGGCTGTGGTGTTTGTGGCTCAGATGGCTTCAGATGTCATGTAGTGGATGGACCCACACACATGGATACCATGACTGTGTGTAAACTTACTTTACTGAGTCTGCAGTGATTAACTTTGCCCTAAGGCTCATATATACATGGAGACAAATACAGGAACGTTGTAGGATTAAGAGAAGCATCTTGCATCTGGCTGTAGTCAAAGGTTTTATTGGCTTATTTATGGTTTAATGTGGCTAACTGTAAGGGGGAATAAGGAAAAAAGAGCATAGCTGTTTCTAACCTCTCATGAAAAGTCCTTTCTTAGTCAAGCTTTCTTGACATATCCTTAAGTAGTGTTCAGGAATAGTTAGAAAGGCTTCTTGAAGGACATTCAAAGCTCTTCTTTGGATGTTTCTGCCTTTTGTTCTGTTCTCTATCATGCTGATCCCACACTGCTTCAATAATCTTGAGGTCCAGACCAATCCATGACTGATAGTTTTCCACTGTGTGTTTTTGCTACCCAGGTATTGGCATCGTGTGCACTGGGATATTTTGGGATCACCGTCGTGCTGAAAAATTAGGCTGAACCCAAAATTTCAAACTTGGACTCATCACTTCCTGTTGCCACTTATTGTCAGTCCAGTTCCTGTGTAATCTGGCATACCTTCACCGTTTCTCTGTTTCCTTTCTGCAAGAATGAGAGCCTGAACAGATCAACAGAGGTGCAAGACGAATATCTCAGGTCCCGCGTCAGGTCATGCTGTTTTTCTTTTTTCCTATTTCTTAAGGAAGCGCCCCCCCCCCCCCCCCCCCCCCCCTTCTGATACGTTTGGACAGATTCAATAAAAGAAATTGGAGCAAATTGGATGGAAAATGAGTGAAAAAGCAGCCAATGTCCAAAGAAAAACAACACTGGAAAGGATTTCAGAAAAGCCTTCAGATGTTTTGCTCGAGAGCACTTTAAAAAACCACATGAAAATCTACCTCCTTGGAAGCAGAATATAAAGAAACGAGGGATGGCTCAAGACTTTTGCACAGTACTGCAATAGAATAAGTGTGAATAATGTTGAGGAATCACTCTTGAAGCATGGAGTAGTGCCCACATCACCGTTCCCA